CACGTGCGCACGTGCAGGGGTCGTTTCCAGATCTCGAGAACGGCTGGACCGATGGCGCTCAAATTTGGTACACGGTTAGGGACCAGTTGGTAGGGTGCCGTGCACAAGTCAGTTGGGACCCATTTAGCACGTGCGCACGTGCAGGGTGCCGCTCCCAGATCTCGAGAACGGCTGGGCCGATTGTGCTCAAATTTGGCACATCGCTAGAAACCGGTCAGTAGGGTGCCGTGCACAAGTCAGTTGGAGGTACCCCCTCGAAATTTCGCACGTGCAAGACTCACCCCCTCGCTCGCTCCGTTAGTCGCCCCAAAAGGCGCTATACTGGTTATTATATATTTTTGTTATTGCTGCCATATAATTGCAGGAGATAATGCTGCTTGTTTGTTATTGTCTGTTCGGGTTACACAGCACGTCATCTGCGGGGTTAATTACTAAAGTTATTGTTTTTCCTTAATCCGTTCAATAAAGGGCTTCATCACGAAGTTCGTGGTTATCTTTGTCTTTCCGGGTCCATGTTGCTCCCAACCTTTCATCCTATCGCTGTCATTTTAGCTTTTTGTTGCATAAATTCTATCATCATCATTATTCAGCAGTTGTTGTCGTATTTGCTTTGTTTACATTGGTTTGCAGAAAAGGTAATTATTGCTATTTAATGACCTAGGTATGTATGTATATTGGCATAGCTCTCCACATATAATGTATCTGTTACAGTATAGCTATAGCCCAAATCGTAGCGGGGAAGGGGTTGGGATAGGCGTCAAAACACAGAGCAAGGCGCAATGCAGGGAGGCCCAATACAAGACGTCAAGTCAACCAGTTACTAGCGGGCGGGCCAGTACGGTGCAGTGTGGACACTCCCAAGCAGTGGGAAGGGGGGGAGGGGGCTCATGGCAGCGCATAGCAGCACGCAGGCGCACTGCGCGGCCCGCGGGCGGGGGGGGGCGGCCGGTCGAGGGGGGGGGGGGGGGGGGGGGGGGGCAGCGGGTGGCGGCCGGCCGGCCGTCCAAGGTCATTCGGCCCAGAGTCATGCGTGCCTGAGCAATCAATGTCTGCAGTGGAGGAGCCTGACGCAACCGGCCTGCGCGCTGGGGTTAGGACTGTCTAAAAGGGTAGGAACAGTGTCAGGGATGCACGAGCAGTTGTTTATTACAAATTTGAAACGAATCACAATGCTGAGCGAATAGGAAAGTCGGTTCATGATACGACTTGTAAGTTCATGATCACAATGCTGAGAGCGAATTGGAAAATCAGCTCGTGAGATGTGTTGACTTGATCATGCATCCCAGTTAGCTGATAGGGTTAGAGCAGCCGGGGAGGCACATGGCAAATTAATGGACCCCATCACTGATAAGGTATTCCAGGAATAACCTAGGGCCAACTAAATGGACCTGGCCCATCTGATAACACCGCACTAGACCGTCAGATTCTAGTTTGCCTGTTACCAAGTGGAAACTGAAGGTTTTCAGGGGAGAGATGCTTTATGAAGGCGAGACCAAATAGAAAAGTCTGCAAAGAAGATCGCCCAAGATGTGTTATAAAGATCCCCGTCGGCTCTAAAAACACGAATTACCTACCCACTAAGCTCAACGTTTTACGGAAGTATAGATCATACTTTTCCTCTAGTATCAGTCATCTCTCGACTTCGGCTACAGCTTTGACCTGCCGGCCGCCCCGCCCCCTACTTTTTGCTACCAGTATCAGCGGCAGCTTTTTACGCTGGTTTTTGCTAGAGCGACTGTGTTTGTGGTTTTTGCTGACGGCTGTTTTACTCCGATGTGTTTTGCTGCTCTTGTGATTGTTCAGTGATTTTCTCCGAAACAGCTGGCTGGAAATAGGCGAAACGGTTGGCCACAGATAGACGAAACAGCTGACTGTTCATGGACGAAACAGCTGACTGTTCATGGACGAAACAGCTGACTGTTCAGTGTTCATGGACGGAACAGCTGACTGCAGATAGACGAAACAGCTCGAAACAGCTCACAGCTCGTTGTAACAGTTGTTATATTCAGATTGAGGCCAAAAGAAGTGTTTAAGATCGCAACGGAAAAACTTGGATATTAGATTGAAACAGACCACTCTGAATTAGTTAGCAGTTTGAGACTGAGATGTGTTCTTACCAAAACGTTGGCCTTTTCAGTGCAAAAACAGTCACTCTGACCACGTGAAATGAGTGATATCAACACGCTTAAATAAATCACGTGTACGATATTTCGTTTATGGAATTGGCACCCATAAACCAACCAGGTTCGAATCGAATGTCCTAGTCGGAATGAATGTGATATTGAGCGGAACTATTTAACAGTAGTTAAAACCGTCCAGGAAAATAGATAAAACATGCGTTGACCCATGAAAACCCAGCCGACCGACTGCTTAGCTGATTTCGTTCAGCTGAGTATTGAGGAGTTCACTCCCAATGCTGGGCCAAATCTAATAAAACGACGTACTTTTCAAATACGCCGTGTGACCCAACGTGCATCCAAGCAAACAAAACTATTCCTGGGACATGCAATATACGAAATACGTAAAAAACATTATGAATTACATAGGTAGTTGTTTTCTGCAGCATAACTCTGCCAGTGCTGCTGAATTCATGATACGGTATTTATGGCACTGGACCCTAGTGGCCTCTCGGCACACCACGCCGAGTCAGCTGGCGCCTGGCGAGCAAGGTCATGGGGAGCGCACGCGCCGCAGCTGGGGTCAAAAGGTCACAGACGCCGGAGGGCGGGGCGGGGCGGGGAGGGGACGGGGGTGAGGGGGACGGTGCTGGTTTGCGAATGGATGAGATTGGGAACAAATGAAGGAAGATAACTGGATGTGTATAGAGTTAATTTCAATGCACGGGAATGAGCATATGTATTTGAGCATTAGCAAGAGCTCGTAAGTGGTCGATCAAATAAGAATGATTTTTCTCATTACATCTAGACACTTCTGGGCAAAAATAAAAAGAACTTGAATTACGAATAAATGCAAAATGCTAAGCAGCATTCGCGGGAACACATTGAAATATCAGCCCTTTACTCTTCAGACTTTCACTCCTCCTCTCCGCACCCGGGCAGACATACACATATACACATTCTCCAGTCATTGTTTACACAACGAGTGCAAGCGAGATGATACTAGGGGAACCCCCGGCTGGCGTGGGACGCCTCCCCCCACCCCCACCCCGGTGGTGCGGCACTGTGGCTTGATAAGGCATGTTTGCTGTGGCTCTCAGGATAGAGTCTGCCAGACAGAATAGAGCGCCTGGATTTGAGGCCCGACCTGCGATTAGAACTGCCAGACTACATGACATTGATATTGACAATGTAGTGACTAGTGTGGGATTTATTTATTTCCATTTCGTACTAATAAGCCCATGCAAAACATGGAAATCTATCTAAATTGTTAAATAGCAAACATAAAGTTCTAGGTGAAAATAAATAGGTATGCGACCGGGAAAAAAATGTTGAGTAAGTTAACAGTGATTTATTTGCAGAATTTGTTGGCGATTTGTTTCATTGAACGTGAGGACAATCCCTTTATGTATTAAAACTTAACGGCAACGAAGCACGAACATTTGTCTTCACTAACCTTCGATTCCTCACACTCATCCAACACACAAACAAATAAAAACAAACCACTTTTCTACAAACATGAGAAACTTGAAAAACTGACGCGGTTGCTGCGACCAACATTTAACATGTTGCATTTTGTAGGTACATATGTATGTTCAGGATTTCTGCCAGGGCTCTGTCTCGATTTCCGGATTGGGTGGTCTGACCGAAAAACGCACAGTGCGCACCCTTATATACATCAGGCTGCATTACGGAAGCGAAATTTTTGGGGTTCCATTGGACCCCCCGCGCTGGCGACCACCCTAATGAAAAGCTGTCGGATGCCATGGCCGTTCCATATTTATTTCATATTTAATACTTGCCCCGCCTGACATAAGCCACAAGCCGTGGCGACTTAAACACCATTTATGTACCGAATGTGAAGCCAGTTCTGTCTCGAATCTCACAAACGTGTTGCACATTCACACCAGGCGTTCCATTACTAAAACTAGACTGTTTCATGTTTAACAGTTCTCAACACCTGACACACCTATTTTGCCACCAGTCTTCTCTCACTTAGGACACAACTAATCTCCTTCTTCTGATACAGCGTCATTATGTCCTCACATCTCTTCGTGAGGACAGACGGATATCCCCGTGCGTCAGGTCGTCCACCAGCCCACACTTAAAGGGACTATCCCACCTTCTAAAATGTTGTTAAAACCAGTTAAATTGTGCCTGACTTTATAGTTTGGATGACCAGGAACACGGTTCTGGCATTTATTTTCATTAAACATCTTAGGCTTCCCATATTCCAAACACAAACTTTCAAATATGTGACGTCACAGCCCAAAATTACCTCCTTCCCCAGGCCACATTACTGTCATAAATCTGATTCTTTTTACTCTGTAGGCACCACACCAAAGTTCAGACCAAGTTTTAAGCGATTTTTCAACGAACAAACCCATTTAAATCAGAATGACTAAACGAGGTGACGTCACACTAACGGTCGCTCCATGCTGAAGATAGGGCCTTGTACAAGGCCCATTTTCAAATGAAGGGAACGAATTTCTTCAACACCAAGAGGCCGCGAGGGTTGCAACCTAGATAGATAGTGGTTTCTGAACCTCGCCGCAAACTTGGCTATCTCAACTCAAACCCCATGTTAAAGGTGGGATAGTCCCTTTAACGACAAGACCGTTTCTCGAAACAGCAGTCAGCAGATACTCTTCTCTCTGACACTAGCTGTCTCACACTTCTGAGAGTATTTATCCCAATTGTTTGACCGGATTTTAACACTAGTTAGCTCTACATTTGACACCACTTATTTGCTGTTTTGCACCAGTTATATTCCGCTTTGCACACAAGTATCTCTACTTATGTCGCCAGTTATCTTCCAGTTCTAACACTTCAATTCGAGAAACTCGCTTTCTAACCCCATCTCTCCCGTCTGTGTGTTCACAGGGAGCAGCCAGCGGCACTGTCTATCTCTGCCGGGACTGTGGCTGCAGTTTCCCGTCTCCAACCCAACTCCAAGAACATCACGCCTCTGCCCACGGAGCCACCAGAGCATCCACCGCCGCCGCCGCCGCGGGGGAGTCGGGAGTGATCCGGGTCACGGCACCAAGAGGAAGGGCCGAAGACGCTTCGTCGGCGCCCATGGCGGTAGCTTCGCACAGCTGGCCGCCTCACGATGGAAGGGAACGATCTGGGGGAGCTTGGAATGAGAAAGAGCGTCCCGCGAGACTACAGACGTATCTGCGATCACCTGATATGTATCTGCCGTCTCTAGTTGGGACAGGTCTCGGAGGCGGGCTGCTCGGGATGATGCCGCTACTCCGCGGCAGACATGGTCTGGGTTCTAGTGGCGAAGGGGACGGACGGGGACCGCTGAACCTTTCCGCTGGGGAAGGGACAGGTGGGGAGGCCTCGCCAGGAGCCACCGAGGAGCGGTCTGAACCATCTACACCAACACCGGTGGAGGAGGGAGGTCCCGTTACTTGCAAGGTGTGTACGAGGGTATTTGAAACGCCTGCGGCGCTGAAAGAACATGCCACTGTCCACCAAGGCGAGCGACCGTTCAAATGTGAGTACTGCGGGAAAGCGTTCAAATTCCGGCACCATCTCAAAGATCACTGTCGAATCCACACCGGCGAACGACCATTTGACTGCAAAATATGTGGAAAGAGTTTCGCGAGATCATCCATCTTGAAGACGCACACTAAGATCCACAGACAAGAAGAGAGACGATTCGAACTGGCCGCTCCATATTTGGGAGGTGGTGTGTCCGGTTTGAGTTCTGCGAGCCTGACGGAAGCACCACCAGGTCCGGCTGACAGACCGCCAGGAGGGGAGCGAAGCGACACAGCGGCAGCGGTGGGGGTGGCTAGTTCGCCCCCACCTCTTTCTCCACCAGGAGGATCACTTGATCAGGATCCTCTCGCTATCAAAATCGAACCAACTGAGCTGGGCCGCTCCGATACAGAAGATTCCAACACGGCACAATAGAAACACGCACCGCCGAAAGCAACGAATGTGATACGCAAGACGACCGTGCTGTCCTCTATCGCACCGGTACTGAACTGAAGCTTCGGAGAGGGCCGCTAGATGTCGGGTCGGGCGCTGCTTCCAGGAGGTTGATTAGACCTCCAGTCTTTCTGTTTTTGTTTTGGTAGCAAAGTGATGCTTACGGGAAGGGTATTGGAGAGGATCAGGGTATGGCGACGGAAGGCTGTTGATAGTTTACGGGGTTGACGATAGGTGGCACTTCAGTCGGTGCGGTCAGAGAGCGGGTCTTTCTATTTGTATCTGACGCATTTGAACTTTTTTTAGTTAATAGTGTTCACTGTAACGATAACATTGCTAATTTATTTCACAAATTTTAGCCTAACTCAAGCAGAAAATGCAAAGGATGGCAGAAGCTTGCGTGGAAAGAGATGTTCTGTTACGAATTTTTTAAGTATTTTGTCACAGCAATATCATCTTGTGGGTAGTTAAACCGAAATTCTCTAAAGACATTCAGCTCTGTTGAGTTCATTGCTCGTACAGACGGGTTGCCGCATGTACATGAGAAGTGAGTGCAGGTTCTGTGTCAACACAATCATTCATTTGAAGAAAAAATGGTAGCGATGGATACAAAAAGTGGTACATCTTCATCAAAGCTATTCAATTTAATGATCATCCAAATAATTCTAAATGACCATAAAAAGTCACAAACGGATAGTGCGTCGTGAAATTCCTGCTTGTTTTCTATAGAGAAAGCGATAAATTGATTCTGGGTCTATTTTGTACCGATAAATCGGTACAAAATAGGAGACTCCATAACAATAATAAAAGTAACCATTTAAAAAAAGAAAGTCGTGGGGCTTTCATACAATAACACCTATTCCTCTCCAAGCGTCGAAGACAGAGCAACATGTTGGCATTCATGAATACGTGAGAAACTGCAGAAACCCCTTTAACAACATATTTTTTGCGATTCAAGTAAAAGTGTGATTGCTTGTTAAAAGCTCTTAATTAGAACAACCTTACAGACAAACTCGACTTCTTTTCTGGTTATTAGCCGTCAAATGCACTAAACACTAACCAGAAAACGGGGCATCCCAGTCTGGTTGTAATCAATTTTCATTCTTTTCTAAATGGTTCTAAAATCCTTACAGGATAAATTAACATTATTGAAACAGCAAATTAATTTTCAGAATACGCTGTGATCTTCACAGTTGGATTTTAATGCTTTGGTATAGATTTAAATACATTTTAATGATGGGATAAAACATTTAAATAGATCGAAGTGAAATGTTTGATTTGGGATGTTTGCCAACGGGAGAGAGCTTTGTGTTAATTACTGGAGACTGAAGCGGCTAAGATGATTCAAAATAAAATAAATACAACTTGAGGATTACCATCTCCCCCCGCCCAAAGAACAAGCAATTCTCAACGCCGGAGAACCTTGGTTTAAAAAGGCAGAAGTATTATCATTCTAATAGGAAAACAACAGCACTGCAATTTCTTGGGGTTTATTGATAAACATATTAGCTCAAACTTCTGAGTATTGGAAATTATGTGTGCGATTAAAAACAAATGTATCGAATCTCGTATTAGGTGGGACAATTTAAGTCTTCCTCAAAAGGCAAAATAGCCGCGAAACATGACAAAATGTAGAAAAATTTGTAGTAGCGCAACTTGAGTTTCACCTTCAATTTTGACATTTCCTAGAAAATGCACTTTTGCAGTTATTTGTTACAAAGTTTAATGCGGTAGGTAAAACAGAAAAATTGAACAGCGACCACAAAATCAACGAAAGACATTGCCAATTTTAGCTTCAAGTAGTTTTAAAAGCTACATCGTGCGACATTTATGTCATTGCTACTCTAATTTATGTCTCGGCGCTATATAAAACCAGACTTTGAAACCCGAAACCACAGTTTGAACGCCAGAAACTACTATTATGAAACTCCAGAGCTATTTCAACTTGTTTCAGCAGTGAGCATTAGGTTACGTTTCAGAAAAATATGTGCGCCTTGACTACAAGGACGGGAAGGATTCCATCAAGCCGATGAAAGTTCTGTAAGTTGCTTGCGATGGTGAATGGGACTGAGTAAGTTTCATATGACATCCGATAAATAGTTTATTTTATTTGTCGGGAAAAATCCGACCAAATCCATAATTGAGGCTTAAAAATATGAAACAGCTTGGCAATGCTTCGATAGTTGGTAGGCTCCTGTCGTTTTAGCATTTCATCTTTCTTCGTATCAGTGAAGTTCATGGTATTGTGTCCCTTTATTTTCTTATCTTGTAAACACAATTGATTCTACCCACGAACATAATTGATTCATTTTATCTCAATGCCACCCCGTTTATTTTCATTCCCTCTCGGCCCCCCTTTGGTAGCACTGTGTGATGTTGGCAGCCTGCCAATTCAGGGAAGAAATGTGATAGGATTGGGAAGAAGGCGGCCATCTTGGCAAACAGCTGGTCGTGTTTAGAGCAAGCGAGAAGTGCCCCGTTCAAACACTCGCGCGCGCCGACGTTGGAAAGTCTGTGATATTTACCGTACTGTGCGACGGTGCTGCCGCCCTGCGGCCGGCGGTGGGACTTGAAGTTGTCGGACTGGCCGGCAGATGTCTCGCCGAGCGGATAGGGTTTGTTATGTTTGGATGTCAGGTAGGAATTGGAGTCGTAACATAGCAGCAGTGTTGACCTTGGATGGACGGAAACAGACTGATTCCCATTAGCCTACCAGACCCAGCGGCGGCGGGCGGTACTCGCAGTTCACTCAAACGCCGACAGGTGGCACGAGTGGCGCCGCCGTCCGCTGATCCCCCTAGTTTAAGCCATAGCGATTAACACAACAGTGATGTTCGAGTGACTGTGACTAGAAACGTCGCGCCATGTTCGAACAGAATCAACCACACACCTGGACTTCAACGACCTTGACCTGGCCTGGGTCAAGGTCACCTGTGACCCATAGCGGAGTGTTGCGCCGGTTTACCGTACCGTCCGTATTGTCTCATTTTTGTAAGACGATTACAAAATAACGCGTTACTGACGCAAGAATAGGGAATTTTGTATGTCGCCAGCATTATCTGTATCCAAAAAATGGCTGTTTTGTGTCCTAAAACCGTTTACTTCTAGACTCAAGTCCGTTACGCGTTGTTTTGTTTTCGTCCATCTCTGCCAGCGTTCGTTGACCGAGCAGTTTCAGAGTTTTGGCTGTAGATGTCGCGTCGATCGCGCCGCTAGGTGGCAGGCCGAGCGCTCGGTAACTGAAGCTGCTTCTGTTGCCCGAAATAGTGAGAGTAATGCTTCAATAAACTGCTCCCTGGAGGTCCGGGTGTTTGAGTTGACGTGGCCCGCGTAGAGGCTAGGTGTAAAACTGGCAGGTGCTTTAGATTTTCGGGTTGAGACCATGCGAGTGAAATTCTAGATGTTTGAATTTCGGAGGTAGGTATCCCACGTAGAGGCTGCTTGTAGATATCTGGGCGTCTGGATGCTTGAGGTATCCGCCCACGCAGAAGCTACATGTAGAATTAAAAAGGTCAGAATGTTTAAAGTGCTCCGGTTAGAGGCTACGTGACCAGAACTAACGTAACTCTATGTGAGGTGCCCCGGTGTAGTATATTAGCTCATAACCAAAATAACTCAGAAATAATCCAAGATTCACCAGAAGCCAATTGAAAAACAACACCGGTGCAGTCTGCGCGCCTGCCTAGTCGCGATTCCAGCCGGACGCCGGTGAAAACAGGGCGCCGGAGGGCATATTTGGTCACGTGACTATTAAGAAATTCTCCCACTCAACGCCTTTTACACGGTGGTTGTCACGTGGTTTGTGCGAGTGAATTTCAAGAGCCTTGATCAAATCGCCCCAGGCGCCCTGTTTTCACCGTCACGACTTCAGCCGCAGTGCTCTGCTGTCGCCAAGTCACTCAGCTGTTGCGACCGGCCGCTCAGCTGAGCCCGCCGGCCAGGCGAGACCTTGAAAGGTCAAGGGGTCAGACGGTACCGGCCACCGCGCGGTCTGCGCGACGCATGAAAGAGGAGGAGATACGACACTACATATACTCGGGAAGTACATATAATAGCGAGCTAACGTTTATTATGGGTGAATGTGGACAAGAGTTGGGTGATTGATTTGCCCTAGGTAGAGGCTATGCTAGAAGATGTAAGTATGATATCGATGATTGATATAAAACAGGCTGTCAGAAAGATAGCTAATTTAGTTCAGCACGCTCAAAGGGCTCTTGACACCGCGGTATTATAACGAGCAGCATAGCAATTACTATAGCTCAGTGTGACCTATCATAGTTATTGTACGCATAATTCTATCATATCATAGACTATTATCATATCATAAACTATTGTATGTAGATTGTAGGTTCATCAGCCATATAGGTACGCTAGTTTGCAGGGCCACACCACGTTTTATTTCATTGCTGCTGCAACTCAGAACTCGCTTTTTTAGCGAACACTTGAAAAGATGCAGCACCGCAATTCTACCCAGCTTAGGGATGTCAATTAAAGAAAATCAGGATACCGATACCAAACCAAATACCAACCAAAACCCATGGGAAAATACCGAAACCAAAGCAACTTGGGAATACCAGGAAAATACCAACTTTTTACCAAATTCACAGACCTATATATTAGTGTAGTGTGGATTCATAATACCTACAAAATACCAAAACATAAGGTTTGAAATACCAAATACCAAGTTGGTATCGGTTTGGTATCGGTTTACCAAAAAGGCGGTATCTGATTGACATCTCTAATCCAGCTCCAATATTTCGTCCATAGATGTCACTACAGTCGAACGCCTGCACTGAAACTGCACCGCATGACAATGAAGTTATATTCGCCGTCCATAGATCTATGGATACTACAGGCGCTGATGGTCCTGCCATCTATGGCAGGACCATCAGCGCCTGTAGTGAAACTGCACCGCAAAGCATTGTAGTTATTCTTCCCGTTCACAGGTAGCAGCACTATCTATCACCCGAAATCACACCACCGCACTTTCTAATTCCATCCGCGGCCGATAGATGACAGCACCAGTACGCACCTGAACGTGTAGCCTGTACCGCACCGCGCGGCGTTTTAGTTCTCACTCCCGCCCACAGATGGCATTACTAGTAAGCGCCTGAAGGTAGACTGTGCCGGCGGACAACCAACTCTCCAGCAACGCTCTTGCTATGGTATCAGAGCATATAATGGTAGCACGACCGAGAGGTTGTTGTCTTCTTTATGGTACTAAACGGAAAGTATACGATTGCATAAAAGGGTGAATTCACCGTAATTCTGATATTTTAACCCTCGCCGGACCTATTGGTTTTCTACATACGCGCCGGCCGAGGGGGGGGGGCGGGTACGACCCCCCTTCGCCGTTTCGCCCCTGGTGGAGCTAGCGCGTCGCGGAAAAAACGAGCATGTGCGCCGTTACGAGACGCAGAGATTGGTACCCGATTTTAGGGTCCTAGGTCAGGGGTCGGCAAATGGTGGGGCATGCCCCCTTTGGGGGCAATGGAGCCCTTTCGGTGGGGGTAATGAGGGATTCTGAGAAAGCCTATCTTTTTAGAGTTTGTGTAGCTCCAGTGATGGAGCCATCCTGACTGTTGCATCCCAGGGTTCAAAGATTAGCCCAGGCCAAAGGCACAGCACACATTGATTAGATACCAATTTTCACGTACCTGCTCGCCTCACCATCTCACCCCTCCGTACAGTCGTACAAAAGCAGCTGCAACTTTTAACCGTCGCCCGTCTGTTGGCGTTTCAACAGCCGCCAACGTAAGGGGGAGGAGTCGATCGGACCCCCGCGGCCTCTCGGACTCTGAGATGGAGCTGTGCATAAAAAAGACGAGCGTGCTACCCGTGACAATAGGAAGCCGCTGCTGCCCATTTTTAAGGTCCTTGGTCATTCCGTCTCATTCAAGAGGGCAATGACAAGTGTCGAGAAAATCGGGACCAAGGCCCTATATACCGGGACACGCTATAACTTCTTGAAGTGAGATTTTATGGCTCAAGATGATCTCCAGAAAAAGCTCATAAGCCAACGGTTATTATGGGTCCAGAGGCCAGTTTTACCAACAGAAAAATAGCCGCCTGCCGGAATTTTTTGCCTAAAGATCGTTTCACATATGGAGCGTAAACGGTAAAGCCCTATCCGCTTACGAGCCCATCGCGTTTACGCTCCATATGTGAAGCGGTCTTGATGCAAAAATTCCGGCAGGCGGTTATTTTTCTGTTGGTAAAACTGGTCTCAGGTCATGATATTTTCCGGGCTGGTAAAAAAAAAAAAAAATGATGGGCTCGAGGGTACAATTTGGTCGTGATCCAATGCCTTTTACGTGAGCTTTTAACGAAAAAACCGCCCGCCGCCCCTATACGTACAAGGGTTAAATGGGATATAGCATAGGCGGCGGAACGGGGAGGGCACCGGGGCACCGTGCACCCTTTGATTTTTGCATTTTAACATTAGCCCTATGGGCGTTGCATGGAAAGAATGGGACCAAAAGTCGGCAGTGCCCCCCCCCCCCCCTCCCCCTTAATTGAAGGTGTTCTGCCGCTACTGGGATAGGTATAGGTATTAAATGTTTTGTGGAGGAAGTGTCATGTTTTAAATCTGATGCATTGGAAATGCACAAATACCCAAAGAGTTCCAGGACGGTATGGAATTTCAGTAAACTTGGTTGTGTCAGCAATGGGGTCTGGTAGGTGGGGGTAATGGCCCCGCCTGGCGCCCAAAAAGGGGGCACGACCCCGAATGACCTGCCGACCACTGTCCTAGGTCAACCGGTGACCTCTGAGGTCAGGTCAAGTGCCCCAAGGTACGGTTCAGTTTTTGGTGAATAACTTCGCAAAAAACGGCCGCAGAGCCGCGATTTTGGCAGCATCGTGTTCGCCTCGATCAGGCGCGTCGAATGATATACTTTTGTTCGGGTCAGGTCAACTTAGGGTGTTGACCTCAGGTCAAGGTCAGGTCAGCACCCCCAGGTCACGAAATTGGTCGAAAGAGGTCATGTCGCATATCAATCGATTCGGCAGGTCTTCCTGAGATCATTGGTGGCTTTCCCGACTCGCTAGCTCAATTTGATCGGGAGTTATTGACGAAAAACTCATATGACCTTGATGACGTCATAAATGACGTCACGAAAGGTCAACATTGCAAAAGTGACGCATCTAACCTTGCAAGGAGTGCATCAAATCACGATTCTGTGTGCTAGAGATAGTTGGAGATCGTTCCCGGCGCCAGAATAGCAGTTCTCATTTTTTCCCATTGACTTATAATGGTGAGGTCACAAAATGACCTGACCTAATATGACCTTAAGGAAAAATCCGAGATAAACAAGCTGTGAGACTCATAATGGATACTAGGTCCTGCAAGTTTCTTTTCCCTGTGACATCTCCTCTGGCAGTGAGGGCGTTGCGAAGTTGCGACATCTGAAGACCGTGCAGAGGTTCACTTATGACGTCATAGGTCAGTGACCTGACCTGACCCAAAAATGCGGTTGGTGTCAAAAGATCCGGCTTGAATCATTCAGCTCTCTATCGCCAGCGTGTTCGGAGCTATCGCGAAAAAACCTATGGGGGGCGGCACCCGCCCCCCCCCCCCCCCCCCGATCGGCCGGCGAGGGTTAATCAAAATGTTCAGCGGCACCAACTGACGCCAGACTCGACTTCATCAATAACGACAGATATATAATTTCCAGAAAATAACCAAGGGCGAGTGCGTATATTCACATAAAGCGTTCGGATCATATACAAAATAAAACCATACGGGTACACATCCCGTGATCGTACGCACAGCGCATATGACCCTGCTCTGACAAAAACAGCACCATTCACCCGTCAACTATAGCAGTAGCGGACTTATTATCACTATGGGGTGCTGTATCGTTATAACTCTAGCGTCACGGTCAAGGACACATCAACACAGTGAAGCCACCGATAGCTGAGCATTAGCATGGCGTTTCGCTTACACTTATGTGTGACGTCAGACATATGACGTCACGAACTCTCATAGCATAACACTGGCACCTGCAAATGGCAATAAGACGTTCAGCGTGTGACATAATGTCATTCAATCCAGCCGTTTTACGTTACCAAACACTTCATAAACGCTTGTATTTACCACATATATGGTACGAATGCTAATCTTTTGATTTATGATTCCAAATCCCTCTTGTTCCTTGAGGCTGTAGAAATCCTGAAACCCCTCCTGAGTGTTGACTCTTGATTACCTACCTCAATCCTGAATTTTCCTGAATTCTGACTTTCCCTGGCTTTACCATTCCTTGCCCTGATTCTATATATGGCCATGACTTGATTTAACCCTACAAAACAATGCACAGGTATTCTAGCATATCACTAAGACATTTGCTATAGTACGAACTACGTAGCCTGCAAATATTACAGGCACGAATGTGCCCTATTGAACTAAATTATCGTCTGCGTTCACATAGAGCAATATCATCCGTCCGGTCCAAAAAGCAACACGGGTTCACAAACTGTCAAAGGTATTGCACAATAATGAAATATGAAGAAAGACACAACATTAACGTAAACTTAGACTAGCTATACAGCTTGCGTTCCATGTTCGCTTTCTCAGTAGGTAATTGCACTCGCCGACGCCACAAAACATCTATTTATGAATGGCTCTGACAAAACTCTTGCTCGCAAGTTTGCTGGAAGCCACGATCTAATGTCCTGTTTTTCTATCCACAAATCAGCAGAATAATATCAGACATTTTCTTCAAAATACGTACACGTTGTGGTTCTAATATATCCAACAAAATATTTATCTGTCTAAGCAGTATGCGCTTTTTAATGATGAATATTATTTTTCCCCGATAAATTTGTCCGTATTATACTGATTGGCTTCATTTGTGAATGTTGAACGTTACAAGTTGTTTGACAGATATAAGTTTGCAATAAGCTCTCAAGTTTGGCGCACTTCACACAAATAACAAAGAGCATTCAGCTCTTAGCATAGGCTGTATCAATAAAGAAATAATAAAGTGCATACCATCTTAGACCAAAAGACGTCCAGCATACTCTACTGTGTCAGGAGCAGGTTTTGACGACCGTTAAATCACTCTCTCCTTTCCCTTCTTCTTACATATCCACTTACAGACCTGACATAGTTATATCACAAAACAAACAATAAGACCGTGGCTCCATCGTGAGACATAACAACACCCCAAGCAGAGGCTACAACAACAGAATTTGGCAGTTCAATACCGTCGAAGACTGCGCAGAGGCTACAAGAAGTGCGGGCGGTTGAGACTGCGTAGAGGCTATGAAGAGAGTCACTGGTAGTAAGGCTAATATCTAAGGCTGCGTAGAGGCTAAAGATGCGGTTTGACACTCACGGTAGAGACTATTTCTGCGGAGTCCAAAGTGGTGCGAAGTTTGCCGTCATATCTGAAAATGCAGCACATTCGGGGCGTCAATTTACAAAAAGTTAAAGAATCACGATAGCGACTACGATATACTTGGGTCATTGCGTAGCATTTACCACGAATTATGATCACAAAGAAGGCAACTCGGCCGCAAATATGTTATGATAACATATGAGGCCATCGAGGGAGTTTCACATGGGGACACACCACACTAACACAGGCTGGAATTGTCAAAGGCTCCGACATAATAGACAGACCGCTAAAAGTAAACCGATTTTAGACAAGTTTCGCATATTCGTAGCTCTAGGGTAACCCACTGTCTACTAAATACCCATTCTACGTTAAATAACATTTCCTTAATCTGCAGATGAAAACGTTTACACGTTTCTTTACCTGTATATCAAGAGTCGACGCCACGCTCCAGGCGGCAGTGAAGTCGACAGAGCCCTCCAAGTAACAAACTCCACGAACTCCCAGTCAGCTCTCTCAGCTGAAGCGGCTGCTGGTCGACATGGTCTTGCCAAAGTTGATGAAGATGCTGGCATCGTCGGTGAACTTTCCCCACGAACCGAACGGTACTACCACGCAGGATATGTTGTCGTCGGCAGAGTAAGAGAGGGCCTGTGGGGGAGAGAGAGAGAGTTAGAGAGGAGAGAGAGGGAGGGAGGGAGGGAGGGAGGGAGAGGGAGGGAGAGAGGGAGAGGGAGAGAGGGAGAGGGAGAGAGAAGGGCTTCTTCCACAGGAGGGCCGGGACAGGGGTAAAGACCCAATGAAAAAGTAAATCACTTAAATAAACTGGGCTTTATCTCATCCAGGTGGAATCCCGTCCAAGTGACGTCAATATGACGTCACATTATGTACTCCCCACCTGATCAGCTAGCTGTGCAACGCCCTCTGGCGGACTGCGGCTGCCTTTGATGACGTCAATATGACGTCACTTCCCCACCTGATCAGTCAGCTGTGCGGCTCCCTCTGGCGGGCTGCGGCTGCCCCTGATGACGTCACATATCTCCTGGTCGCTCATCACGTGATTTATTCCGTCTGAGGTGAGCACTAGAAAGGCGTCCCGGCCGTGCTTCACCTGGGGATATGAAACGGGGGGAAACGTCATAATGTAGAAACGAGACAATGAAGAACATAGAGAGACAACGGTGCATAACAATTAAGAAAGAGTAGGAAAGATTGGGAAAGTGATTACGTTTAACGACCTACAAAAGTCACATACATAGCTCTAGTGACCTTGTATATCTCCAGTGACATTTCTTAGGTCTTAAGCATCAGTTAGCTCATACACCGAACTACAAACCTAATGACCTCTAATGGCCCTGCATGCTGACTTCATGTGACCTTATATATTGGGCCTAGAGTGACATTTTATAATGACCCCCAGTGACCTCATATAATGACATCTAGCGATATTACATACCTGAGCAAAGTAACCTCATACACTGAACTCAGAAATCAGAGCTTGCATTATATTGTGACCTAAAGTGACCTTATATACTGACCTCAACGAGCCATATGAACTGACCTCACCTCACCTAACCTCTAACACTGCTCTCGAGTGTCCCCACAGTGATCTTTTGACCTCCAGTGACCTGTTCTACTGACCTCCAGTGACCTGGTGTCGGGAAAAAGCGGTAACCCCGGACCGTTTGAGATGGAGATCTCCGATACTTCTAGTCATCGCCAGTCTACCGTTGACCATGTGACGACCAACTTCATCGACAGTCACGTGACCACCCGACGCCTCCACCCGGCGCTGTGAGAAACGGTCACGTGATCATGGGGATCGTAAGTGGCATTGGTTCACAACGGATAGGGGTTGAAAGATATGGGTTGGAGACTTCCATTTCACGTCTACCTGGACGGCGGCTGCGTCTGTCTGGCCGCTGGCGACAGCTAACCTTAGACCCGTGTAGCTTGGAAGTCTCCGTCCAACAGTTCCACGCCAGTCTCTACCCATATAGTTCGAAATCGAAATGTCTAATGAGTGCAATAGGATAAATGCACTTTGCGACATAGGCTCGACATGACATGATTGTAGAAGACGCTGTTCATGAATGATACGTTTTTTTAACCTATTCCTGGGGGGGGGGGGGGGGCCTCAGGAGCCCCCCCCCCCCCCTGAGGTTTTTTGGTTATTTCTTTTCCCCAAACGCGTTGAGCTAGGAA